TCTAGTTTACTCTGAAAACATAAACAAGCAAGAAGAGCCAGACTGAAAAGGGAGAGCAAAGGGGCAGGACTGGCCTGCTCTGAAGCCTCAGGAGCCAGCCCAGCGTGCGGAGCACAGGCCTGGGGCACAGGCAGAGTGACAGAACCGAGAGCCCAGAAACAGGACCCCGCCACCTGGAAACTCAGTGTGCACAATGCACCCTCCCCTCAGCCCCGAGAGCTGACAGTGGGCCTTTTAATAAACTAGCTGGACAACTGGGTAGCCATCTGGGGAAAAGAGAGAGAGATGCAACCTCACCCTGATCACCAGCATAGCCTTCAAATGGATCAAAGGTTTAAATGTAAAAAATTTAAAAATAGAGCTGAATTCCTTTGCCCTCAAGAAGAAGGGTCGTGGTGGGCACGGGGCTGGACTCAGACAAATGATCAGGAGAGTGCGCCGATAACCCACATTGTTCTGTGTGATCCTGTCCACCGAGAGTTTCTTGACATGAGTTACTTACCTGGTTACTCTCCAAGCACAGGAGGCCACCTGTCCGAGGCCACCCCAGGCTCTGGGGTCCTAACCGTGCACTACTGCTCCTGGCTGCGGATGAGATTGACTCTGCCCCGCCACGCAGCCAGTGAAGCTGGAAGCGGGCTTGGTGGAGGCGGGGATTAGGGGCCACAGGACAGGTCAAGGAGAGTCCTGCCTTCAGGGGGTAGCTTCTCAGTTGGGCTAACAGATCAGCAACACATACAATGGAGGAAGGGCAGGCGTTTGGGGTTTTGAGTCTGGGAGCTGGTCAGCTCTCATGTCAGGTTGGGTATAAGCAGACAAGCAGAGAGGAAGAGAGACCTTGGCCTCTGATCAGAATGGCTAAAGCCAGGGAGGGACACCAGGAGTGACTTAGGTGGCCAAGGAGTTATAAATTGGCCCAGGCTCAGGCTGTAAAAGGCCTGGAATGCCAAGGTCATAGTTGGTCCCATCCCATCGCACTTAACAGTACACAGCATATTGGCACCTCGGCCAACCTGGAGACACTGGCTCTTTTCAGCANCCATCGCACTTAACAGTACAGCATATTGGCACCTCGGCCAACCTGGAGACACTGGCTCTTTTCAGCAGATGAACAAAGAGAGCAGAGGTTAAGGACCCTGCCCAAGGTCACAGCGTGGAATAAAGCCCTGGGTCCCGTGACTCCAATCTTGAGCTCCTTCTCCTTGGTCACCACTCCTGAGGGTCAGGAGTCTGCACTTTGTTCTCTGGACAGCTTAGCAGCTGGCAAGGTTTCTCAGCAGAAGAGGGAAGGCGTGACAGGGCAGATTGGGGACAATCTGGATCGGGTCGGGGGAGAGACAGGGTGGGGGATGAGAGGCCTGGACAAGGACAGCCAGAGAGGCGTGTCCTCGCAGCAGCGTCCCTGGACACACCTGCCCGGCGCCGGGTGGCCCTGGTTTGCCTCCGGCCTCTCCCGAGCCTCCTTCGCTAGTCCCTCCTCTCCCCTCCTCCCCACCTCAGGGCCTGGCCCCCCTGTTCTGACCTCTTCCCTCATGGAGAGTGGACAGTGTGAGGTCTCAGCGAGGGCCATAGCTTCAGGGCCACCTCCATGCCCACAACTCGTGATCCTGGGTCCCCTGCTTAGATTTGTCTCTTGAGCTATAGGTGACACGTTCTGCTGCTCGTAGAGGTTTGTCCACGGTCACCTCAAATTCAACCATCCAACCTTCCTTCCTCCCCACCTGCCCCCTCGCCTCCAGGCTCCCCTTTTCAACCACCAGGAGCCCCAGGTCCCCCAGCGCTCAGGCAAGGGGCCTAAGGGGCCTTGCAACCCCTCCTCTCCTCACCACCACCCTCCTAAGTCAGGCTCAAGCCAGCCAGCTTCCCCTTGCTCCCCGCTGCCCACACCGGGAGGCTGCGGTGACCTCACACTGCGCCCTCGCTCCGCTGCCCTGGCCGAACGGACTGTGCGCGCTCCTCTGCCTACCCTCCAGGGCACGTCCTCATAGAACATGCCCGTTCACAGCAAAGCTGTTCGCAATGGCCAGAGTGGCGACAACTCACGTGTCCATCACTATGAACGGACAAACACAAGCCCGTGCATCCACACCATGGAATTCAGCCGTAACAGGAAATGAAGACCTGACACGGGCCGCCACGTGGCTGGGCCCTGAAAACATCACGCTGAGCAGAAGGCAGACACAAAAGGCCGCATACTGCGTGATTCCATTTACGTGAAGTGTCCAGGACGGCAAATCTAGAGAGACAGAAAGCAGACTGGTGGCTCCAGGAGCTGGGAGGGGCTGGGGGAAATGAGAAATGACTGATCATGGACACATGGTTTTATGAGGGGGATGGAAATGTCCCCAAATTGCACAACTGAGTAACACTAAACACCATTGAAGGGTACACTTTAAATGGGTGGCTAGGTGACAAGTGAATTGTATCTCAATAAAGCTCTTTTTAAAACCCCAAGCCCCCTCGGGCTTCCCACTTCCAGCTCCTTCCTGTGGCTTACACAGCCCAGCTTCATCCGGCCTCTGCCCCTGCTTGTGCCAGCTCCTCCTGGGACGCCAGTCTCTCTCCCGCTCTACACTCAGGTGTTTCTGGCACTTACAGCGCCTCTTGCCCAAGGCCTCCTGCCCTGGACACATTTCTCCCTCTCCACAGAGTGACCACCCCGTTCCGTGTTTGGCTCTGTTTCTACATAACTGTCTGGGCTTCCCTGATCTTGAGACAGGTGGGGGCGCTGCTGAATGTTCCCCAAACTCCCACACTCCCCTTAATCATGCCAGTCCTCCCCCAGTCATTACTTGACTGCCTTCCCCCGCAGGCTGGGATGCTGGCACCCTTGGTCTCGTTCACAGCAGCGTCTGGGACAGGCTTTTCTCACATCAGATGATGGAAAGTACCCAGGGTGTCCCAGGCACTCTTCTAGCTACGGGGGAGGCAACAGTGAGCAAATTCCTGGCCCCAAGAGCTTACAGTCTGGTGGGAAGGTGGGCAGAATGTGCGCAGTGAGAAACCATGAGGCGGCGACCAGGGCTGAACAGAAAAGCAGAGTGCAGGGAGGAAGGGGCGCTGGAGGCCAGGCGATTACTAAGTGCTTACCGAGGGCTTCTCCGAGCAAGGTAACGACTCATATCTGGGCAGAGGCCTGATTGAAGCACGTGACGATCTCAACACACACCTGCCGGGTGACTGCACAAGGACACAAGGGTCAAGGAAGGGAGAAGGGCAGAACTCGTGTGCCTCGGGGCTCTGACTGCAGCTATGGGCCTGTATGTAACCCTCGGGACCCCATTTAAGCAGCCCCCAACTGAACGAGACTCTGTGCCCAGTGTAAGAGGGGCTCAGATCTGGGGACTCTGCACTGCACGTAAATACAGTGCTTAAGGGTTAGAAGTATTTCCAAGGTGCCGAAGCACAATTCCACTTTCATTTTCCTTAGTTATCCAAGCACCGTGGGAAAGGAAAACGTTCTACCTTGAAGACCACCTACCATAAGCAGGTCGACGGGATAAATCCAGGAGAGGTGGGCCACTTATGCCCGCCACCTCCCTCTTTCCAACGAGCCACCTTAGAGGCCCTGGCACTGCAGAGATCGCCTTGGAGCACTGGGGAGGAGCGGTCACCATGTCCTTCCAGTCATGTTGGAAGACGGGCCTGTTACAGACGCCCAGGCCACTAAGTGTGAGGAATGTCAGGAGGGCCGTAAGCTCCAGCTGCAGCAGAGCCACTCTGTAGAGGGAAGGGGAGGCCTCATGGCCACTCACCACCTGTAGCTTTTAGTTATTAAATGCAGCTGAGCTATTCCACGATGTCTTCCCAAATGCCCCCACCCAGACACCTTTCCAGGAATCACACAACAGGGGTCAGAGGGGTTTATGATCACCAAGAAATATGGAACCAAAGAGACTGCACAAAAGCAGCAATTTCCCATTAATTCTGAGGCCATTCGTCAAACACAGCAAAGAGCCTGGCTGGTGTAGCTCAGTGGTTGAGCATCGACCTAGGATCCAGGAGATCGCGGTTCGATTCTGGGTCAGGGCACGAGCATCAACCTAGAATCCAGGAGATCGAGGTTCGATTCTGGGTCAGGGCACATGCCTGGGTTGTGGGCTCCATCCCCAGTAGGGGGTGTGCAGGAGGCAGCCAATCAATGACTCAGCCCATCAATGACTCATCATTGGTGTTTCTCTTTCTCCCTCTCCCTTCCTCTCTCTGAAATCAATATATAAATATATATATATAATTTTTATTTTTTTAAAGTAAAAAAAAAGAGCAAAGAGCCTCCACGAGGCTGTCACTGCCTTGTTTTGCTTCAGTGGCCCCATTCTGGATATTTCTGCTCAGCTCCATGGGAGCTGGCCTAGGATCACCATGTGACCGGCAGCCCCCCGCAGGACAGTGCTGGGCGAGTTCCTTCTCACGCATGGTCACTGCAGAGGAGGAACTGAAAATGCCCCTGTCGGAGCTGGGCAGTCGCAGCTGAGGCCGGGTGCTGGGCTCTAGTTAGGAACTAGACCAAGAATACATGTGGAAATTCCTCAGGTTTCGTTTCTTTTCTGTTCACTCTCTAAACAAATCTTGTCTGGTCTTCTGTAGCCAGTGCTGTGTGGGGGTGAACCGGCCTAGGCTCACCCTAAAAGCAGACAAGTACGCTTTCGCAACTTAGCACATCGAAACTGCTTCGGCACAGGTCATCTTGTCCTGGCCTTCACTCAAGTGTGTGTGTGGNTTTGTTCTCACAAAGTTTCTAAAGTGTGGTCTACTGTTTCCATCAGAAACACCAAGAACGCCTGCTGTGCCCTCAACCCCAATCCCAGAGTGTATGAGGGCGGGGCCTGGAAATCTGCATTGTGGACAAGCTCCCCCAGCGTTCTGGTAACAGCCAAGGTGGGCATCACTCCCCCTTGTGCCCAAGGAGCTGGGTGAGTGGGAAAGAAGGACGTGAGTCCCGACTCCCTAAAACCTGACAGTGTTTAGGTTTTACGGCAAAGGGAAAAGAGGGTCCAGAGTGAAGAAGTCATTGTATGTTTATTATTCACAGTTAATCACTACCTACCAAATTCTATTCGCAGTTAAAGGTTAAGTACATAGGTATTTTTATTTAAACACTGATTTCTTTTTAAATATATACACACAAAACTTAGTTCAGCAAGGCTTCATGATATACACCAACTCCAAAATCAAACAATCACGTGGTCCAGGTGTAGAATGCCAGCTCCCCTGATCACCAGCGAGGAAAGGGGAAGCTGTCAGGGAGGGAGGAGAGGTCGAGGTCTCTGTCCAGAAGAGCAGCCGCCTCCTGGGCCCCGAGTCCAGCTCCATAACCAGAGTCCAGGGAGACTCCAACGACCGCTCTGGAACCCAAGGCCGTCGCCAACTCCTGGCCTGGTTGTGTTGTGAGAAGGGGACTGGGTGGAGAGAGAGTTCACAGGCACATGGCTCCGAGGGACAAGAAGCTGACAGGAGACGGACAGAGCTCTTTAGTGGACTCGGGCTTCCTGTATCTCCAGTCTTCCCTCTGCTCTCCCTGTTCACGGAGACATTTCCTTTTTGGGGCTGGGGTGGAGCAGCTATAAACACAGCCCGCTGTGAATGGAGACATGAAAACCACCCAGCTGCTTCTTGAATGCTGCCCTAAGGCTCACCTGGGAGGTTAGGTGGGGATACAAAAGATAAAAGGCATGAACAGACACCCTGGTTTTCAGAGCCAGGCAGAGGAAGGGAAGACTCATTTCTACCCAGTGCAGGAACACCGTACATCCTGGCAGAGGGAGAGCGAGACAGTTTAAACTCCCCGGGCTTTCCTTGTTCGAAACTTGCTGGCTCCAGGGTTTGAGTCAGGGGGTTTCCGGGGGGCATACAACACCTGAGATGGCAAGGCCAAGGACGCTGACCCCTTCAGCCAGACCCAGTCCAGTGCGGGCAAAGCTGCAGCCAGTCCTCCTGCCCCGCCAGCTGGTCACACTGCTCCCCGGGCAGAGATTCCAGACACGCGGGCTTCCCTTCTACTCCGGGGGGGCTCACAGGTATTAATGCTGAACCTCAGCAACTCCTGCTCAGGACAGGCAGCAGACCCACCCCCCTCCTGCTCACCCCCTTCTCTACCCTGTTCCCTCCCCACCAAGGAGAAGTATTACACAGAGGAGGAGGCCAATGGGCCGAAGAGCTCTGGACTGTCTTTAACTTATTGTAAAACAAACCAAAGAGAAAACACCCTTCATAAGCAACCCTTGAAATAAGGAAAAGGCACCATGAAAACAACATGCTGGGTGACACCATTTGGGAGGGAAAACGACTTGGGAGAGAGACACAGGTTTTCAGTTTAGCTTTCTAAGGGAGTCATGAGGGGCGGCATCCTTCCTTCCACCCCCACTTCCAGCTTTGACAGAATGCACGGGTGGGGGCTACTGGGCAGAGCCTGACTAGCCCTCGCCCTCTGGCGGGCTACAGAGAAAGGGCTCCCCGCCATGCTCGCGAGTCCACGGAGAACCCAGCAATGGCTGTCCTTTCGGTCGTTCCGGCTACAAGACATTTCTGCATAGAGAAGATACCAGCCCACTCAGTTTCTTTTCTTTTATTGGTATCAGCTAGAGCTTATGTGGTATTAAACGTCATGCACTGACAGGAGAGAAAAGGTGAAAGGACAGAGGACTAGGAGCAGCGGTGAAAATTTGTAATAAAAACTCTTTTCCTTAATTTATAGGTAAGTTTTGGCATTGTTATATCCAACTCCCCTCCCACCCCCCAAAGTTCCAACCAGGCGAGAGGGTCGCCAGGCGCCCGGCCAGGTGTCCGGGGCTCCCGCACGGCTGCTGTCGGAGGCAGCTGTGGGTCTAATTCTTCTGTAGGTGTCTGCATTTTTCACTTTCTTTAAATAATCTCTTCTTGATTCCTAGACATTCCGGTTCACAGGGGTGACGTAATTGCGGGGAAACATGCCGGTCTGCCCATGGCAGGCCCCCTTCCACCAGTTGGGGTCCGAGTTATCCATGACGTGGATAAAGTCTCCCCGGCGGAACCCCAGCTCTCCGTCCTCCTGGGGGTCAAAGTCAAAGAGCGCCTGCACGTACGTCGGCTGCTGCGGGGGCAGGGAGAGACACACATAGCGCCCTGAGCGAGGCGACAGGTGCAGCCGTCTTTTCCACATTTCCTGAAGTGAACCCCACTTCTCCTCCCCCTCCCTTTAGTCTTACATGGCCTAAGTCTGCTCTCTGTGGGACTGTGATTTTTCACCAGCGTCATAAGTGACTGGGGCAGGTCTCACTTTGGTGGCCAGTTGAGCCATATTATTAAGCAGAGAGTGGCAAGTGCTGCTTTAAGGGGAAAGAACTTCGGAAACTGCCATCAGGTTTTGTTTAAAGTCTCGGGATTTGAAAATGCTTCAGTTCCTACCACTTTATCACTTGTAAAATCCTGAAGGTTTTAGAGAGTCAAAAAGTCAAGAGCTGGAATAAAACAAGGTGCTGCTCACCAGAGCACACGAGCAGGATTCCAAGACTAGGAACACAGGAGCGAGCGTGGGCCTCACTCCCTCACAAGTATGACTCTCCTCATAATTTGCTTCCAGGGAAAAAATAATACTGGAGTGTGTGTTAAAGACCCTCCTTCCTAGAGATGCAGGTGGTCAACTAGCAACACACTGACTCAGAGGAGCAGCCTCTGGAAAAGGCAAAACTGTTTCATTTCAGATCCAAATCTTTAGCATGAATTAAGGATAACATTTTGAATAATGAGTGTAGAAGCCCCAGAAGCAGTCCTTTGAAGAGGCACCTGCTTGCCTCAGGAGCTGTTTTCCTTGCTAAAAAGGATCCCACTTTTCTTACGAGGCTTACCTGTGGCACCTGTTCTATGTCCCGGAGGAATATCTGCTGATTTCTGGAGACGGACGTGGACCTGTGATAATCTACCAGCTCATTCAAAGAACTGAACTTCACCACCCAGAGAAAGTACTTTCCGGCTCCGTCTCGGAGCACCTTGAAGTGCTGCACGTCATTTCCAAACCTGGGGAGGGGCAGGGATACACAGGAGACCAGGTTAGGGGCTCAGTCCTGGCTGCCCCCCAGGCCCACCTGCCCACCGAGGCGGTCACATCCTCACAGCCCAAGGGGCCCAGGACTGCAGCACAGCACAACTCCTGGCTGGAGGTTTAGGATGATCACTGAGCTCCTCCGAGACCCCTCCATTAGGACTGATGACTACCAGTGACAACACGAAGAATCCTCACCAGACAGGAAACCCTGTCCATCAGTCTAACTCTGAAGACATTTGTAAATGAAAAAAAAAAGTCCTAACCTATGGTGTGCCCCACATGGTACCAAATGAAAGAAATAGAGCCTATTTAAGGCAAGGAGTGTGACTTAATTACATTTTCAAGTGAAAAAAAAGATTAAAGAGGAGAAATTGGACATACTTTCAGCAGTTCTCCTGTACCTGGGTAAAGGCATGTGTTCTATTCAGGGATTTCAGTTCTCATGGGGAAAGGGTCTCAGAACAAGAGAATATACTGGGACAATAAGTAAAGAGGCCCAGGCACCCCCACATGGAAAAGGCTTCCCTATCACCTAGTCAAAGGTAAATGCTCCCCTTTTACAGTGGCCCAAGAATCAGCAAGAGCCTGACTGAGCAGGATGGCCCACTCTCACGGCACATCAACTCAACGAAGGCTCTGCCTGCCTTCCTCACTGCTGAGTCCTTGGTGTCCAGACCAGTGCCCAGCCCTCAAAAGGCACCCTAGCAAGATTTGTTAAATGAATGGAACTAGTCTCCTTGGGAACCTGCAGCTTCAAGCTAAAGAAAAGAAACACTTCTAAAAAAACCAACCAGCAGGTGGCAGCACTGAGCTCCCAGGAAGCCACTGACTGAGATGCCAAGTGCTTAGACAGTACAGTAAGTCCTCACTTGAAGATGGTCCACAGGTTCTGCAACTTTAAGCTAAACGACTTGTAACAGAACTGATCTACCACAGGTGAATTGGTATAAGCAAGAGATAAATTCCTACCACGTCGCATCAATATTATAATGAAAGGACCTGCAGTACTGCTACTTCAAGGGGGAAAAGAGACAGATGGGGAAAGAGCTTTATGAGGAAGGACATGTTCAGCGCCACTCTAGCTCCACAGAAGTCCACTCCCACGGTGCAGGGAACCGGCTTCTGAGAGGACGAAGTGTTTCCCAGCACAGACTCACACCACCTTGGAACTAGAGAACCATCTCTGAGACTGGATCCTTGAACCTCCTTTGTGAAGGTGTTTGTGTTGATTCAGATGGTTAATGACATTGGTTTAAAATCTCATTTCTAAAACAATAAATGCATAATTCTTTAAGCTTCTTATTTGATATAAGGGAGTGGCGTGGGAGCCTCCTGGCAGCGACAGTGCGCAGTGATTAGTGATACTCAGACAAGGCCCCCAGGCCAACGCTACCTGCCATGGTGAAGCAGGAGGGCTGACTGCTTGTATGCCTCGCTCCGTACTGTTTGATTTACACTCGCCGGTTTAAAATACAAGGGAAGCAGATGATGAGACACAAGTTAATAAGAAGCACACGGATACTTCCATCTCAAGGTGCTCTTTACCAGACCCTCATTTGCATCCGGTTAATCAAGCACCAAAAGCATGTGGGCGTGTGGGGGTGTAGGGGAAATCTCTGTACCTTCCACTCACTTTTGCTGTGAACCTAAAACCGCTCTCTAAAAAATAAAGTCTACTAAAAATAAAAAAAGCCATTGTTAGAAGAGAAAAACTTAAATCCAGTATGACTTTTTCATGTTGGGACTAAAAACTGTTGGAAACATATCTGTAAGGTATTGCAAATACTACCTGAAACCACCTCATCTTCACTGAGGGAAAAAGGAATCTAAATTTAAATTTCAAAAAACCTACACTTTAACCACATATTTGGTCTTAAAATGAAACAAGATATTCAGTTAATTTTTGAAACTGAAAAAAAATATTTACATCATTTTTAAATGACAAGTAAATTCTTATAGCCTTCATTAAAAAATCAATTTTAGCCCTGGCCAGGTAGCTCAGTTGGTAGAGCACTGTCCTGATAGGGCAAGATTGTGGGTTTGATCCCTGGTCAGGGCACATACAAGAACCAACCAATGAATGCATGGATGGGTAGAACAGCAGATCCATGTTTCTCTTTCTTTCTCTCTCTCCCCCCACCTCCCTCCCTCCCTCTAAAATCAATTTAAAAACAAACAAAAAAAAGATGCTTCTAAAAAAAAATCAATTTAAAACTAATCACTTCTTTGTCATATAAATGATGAACTAACTCATTTGTAAGATTCCTAGGGGAGGGGTTCCTGTGATACCATATTATTAACTAGAAAAAGACTGAATCAAAAGGAAAGGACAATTTGATTCAATATCTTTATGTCGCAAATGGGGGGCTGATCTGCTTAGAATCTTCTAAGTTCCTATTTATATTCTCTGTGATTCCCAGGGTGATAAAATTCCTGCCTTTCCTAGTCCCTGTTCACCAGCTCCCTTCCACATTTAAATTTACCATGGGGTTAAGTAAAAAAACCCAAACCCTTGTGGTGACTTTAAATTAATGTCAGAGGCCTAGGTGGTGCTGGCAGATTTAAGCTAGATACCTGGGGTAGGCTTGCAAAGGCAGGTGACATGGCCATCAGCCAGCTGTTGAAGAGAGCTGCAAGAATCCCAGAGGGAAGGGCACGGGGTGAGGAGAGAGCTGTGTGTATGGATCATTAAGGAGTGGTGGGGATTAGGGAAAACTGGCAAGCATGTGCTGTCCGAAGTGCTGCTGCAGCTCAGCAACCAGACTGCTTCCACGGGGAACCTAAACCCAGTGCTGCTAGAACAAATTTTAAGAGGGGCCAGAAATTAGGATTTTAATGTAAAATCTTCTGATTTGTAAAATACTGTTTAGGCTAAACCCCTATCAGCTTGCAACCTTTGGTGTGTGTCACCAGGCCTATGGCTTCACAACTTAGATCAGCTGGAGACAAGGATCCAGGCAACCAAAGCAGGAAATACTTACTTGACAGAGAGGGAGAAATCCCCAGGAGCACTCTCACTCTCTCGGATGAGGAAGGCCCCGTCATGCCGCTGTTTGCTAAGCATTTCTTCTGCCTTGGCTCTGGGGATTTTGCCAAAAAACCACCTAAGGAAGGAAGGCAAGCCAGTCAACATCTGCTTCCCCAGAAAGAAACGGGATATGCAGCCTCCGAAATGTGAGTAACAGAACACTCCCTCCCAGGGGAAGGGCCTCCCTCTTCACCCTTCAGTCTCAACATGCCCAATCACGCAGTTCAGTCAGGTCCTCCTTTGAGAGATGGACCATCTCCCTTCAAACGACTTCATCCTACCCCCCTCTCCAGAAAGCACTCTTTCTACTGAGGTAGACACTTAAAAATGGGCCTCCGGGGCCAAAGCCCATTGGGCTCCCTACTGACTCATTACAAGGTAAGGGGGAAAGCCCAGGCCTACTGATTTGAACCACAGATGCGGAGACAGGCTCCTTCTTGCAGCCATCTGATAAGGTTGCAGCTTTGCTACAATGCGAAATGGGGGTAGGAAAGCTGGAAGGCCCAGAAGCTGGAGACAAGGCTACTTCTTATAACAGCGCAAAGGGAAGAGGTCAGGCTGAGAGGGCAGCCTCCGTTAGTAACTAAGGTTGGCATTCCTCTCAAAGCCAGTTTCTGCTGTCCCTGCTTAAGTTTAGCTTTTAGGAGCCATCAGGAACATCATCATAATATACCATGTGCATAGGCAGCTAGTTGCAAAATTCGATTTTTCATTTGAAGCAAGTTAGATTCTTCTGAGCCCAATGCTAATTCACCTTGGCCACAAGAAAAAGAGGGTGAATTCATGGAAAACTGGGAGCAACTGGCCTGTGGCTTACCAGGAGGAAGAGAACACTCTTAAAAAGCTTAAAGTCACAGCTGCCTAAGTATTTCACATAAAAATCATACTAATTAGGATGGATGAACTGTGAAAACAATGTTCTCTTTTCAACATTGTCTTTAATGTACTGTTATGAGTATTTTTTAAAAAGCAACCATGTTTCTTAGAGCTAATAAAGACCCATCTGATTCTTAAACTCCTTACATGGTAACTAACATTCATTAAATATACAAACTATAGTAACAAAGATACCAAGTAGTCCATTAACCTAAGTTATATATCTATCTTACTATAAGCAACTGCATTGGCAAGAGGTCTCTAAAAGAATACACTATACTAAAATCCAAACAGAGATACCTGAGTTGCTAGGATGGATACATTCAGAAGATTCCATTAGTAACCTTTAAACATTCCTAAACCTACCTACTTGTGTCTTTCTCATTTCGCTCCTCTAATGCTAAGCTGCCAGGAGCTGGTACTATCTATCTTCCTGCTTCTACAAATAACTTGAGGGTAAGTCCTCCAGTGCCTGGAAGTCAGGCCACACAAGAAAAATCACATATTAATAAAATAGAAGGATCTCCAGTTATGGAAGGAGAGCTAACAGTCCTGAGACCATTTAAATATTTTCTATTTTCATCTCTGGTGCTTTCAAGTTTATAATGGACTTGCACGCACAGGCATCCCCTGGGGTGGGGTGAAGTTACTCGACAACCACGCTCTTTCCTCCTAAACCCCCAAGAGCTTCCCAGCACGCAGGCATTTTCTTTCCTTTCCTGCTTTTTAAAATATAAGTAATAAATATAAATTAAAATACCCTAGATGTGCATGAAGTAAAAATAAAAAGCAAGACTCCTCCCTCAAACTCCCCAGAGGTCGAAACTGCTGGCAGTTCTATTTGTATGTTTTTAGAACCTTCCCTTATGGTGCACAGATAGATAAGGCTGCAGGGGTTTCTTGCCCCCAGATGAAAATTAACTCAATTTTATTTTCAATTAAAAAACAAAAATGGCAGTGAAGTAAATTACACTAATTGGAATTTTTGCAAAGTAAACACACCCGTTAAAAGCACCCAGATTGAAAAATAGAAAATTAGTTGGAGACTTTATTAGGTAAATACTTCTTTTGTATCTACTCCCATTTTTAATAAGCATGTGTGCGCGTACCCCTCCCCCCAAGGATGTCCCACAGCATAAGGGCCATCACACTATATGAGGAACGCTTCACTCTGAGTTACACCATTTAAATACTATCACCCTAAGTTTTCACAGCATTTAATACTGCTTATAAATTTGATTAGCCTCTTTTAATGGTGATATTTATGTGTAACTACATGGCTATGGTCAAAATTTTTAAAATCTTTAGAAAGATGTGTTTATACTACAATACAAATAGCAAAGGAGAAAGCTAATGGGAGGAGGCTGCTTATTTTGCAATTTAATTCTTTACATCCCATAGGCTCCCACCCATATGCATTTAATGTGAAAGCACATAGTTGGATCCACCCCCAGTATCTACAACTCATCTTGCAACACTAATGCCAACAATCATTTTGTAGTCTGTGTTTAATTTGTTAACTCAAATGTTATATTAGGTCCTACTCCATTTTAAACTTCCCTCTGCCTAACAAAAGCTAAAGGTTTTGGGGGTGGGGTAAGGAAGAGGAAGAGAGGGAAGAGAGGAGGAGAGACCTGGTACTCTGTGCTCTCCCATAGCTATGAAACCAACATTAACTGTACTTATGGGTATCCAGCCACAGAGCAGTCCCGTGACATGAAACATGCCTATAAGACCAACTACCACGTACAAGGTCATGGTCTTTTTTAGCAATTCACTCAGAGCTTGTAGTGGATTTTCAGCCAGAGTCTGTGAAGAGCACCAGTACTGGATGCTTCCTGATCAATTATTCGAAGTTCTTTATAGTGGGGAACCAGGCATGAGAGTGACTCTCCCTAAAAGGCTAACCAGCCAATCAGGTCAGTAACCACTACTTTCCAAGGAAGGTAGACTTTCCTATATTTTCTTTCTTTTAAAAAGAAAATTAATTTTGAGAGAGAGAGGGGAAGGGAGAGGGAAGAGAGAATCATCATCGAGCCTGGCCGGGCATGGCTCAGTGATTAAGCATCGACCTAGGATCCAGGAGATCGAGGTTCAATTCCTGGTCAGGGCACATGCCTGGGTTACAGGCTCAATAGCCAGTTGAGGGCATGCAGGAGGCAGCCAATCAATGAGGAATCTCTCATCATTGATGTTTCTAGCTCTTTCTCCCCCTTTCCCTCCCTCTCTCTAAAATCAATAAAGATATATTTTTTAAAAAAAGGAGAAACATCGATGTGAGAGTAGAACATCGATTGGTTGCCTCTTGCAAGCCCCCCTACTGGGGATCTGGGTTCAAGCCTGCTCCCCGGGCATGTGCCCTGACTGGGAATCCAACTGACAACCTTTCGGTGCATGAGCAATCACCCAACCAACTGAGCCACACTGGCCAGGGTTCCTGTATTCTCTTAACAGTCAGATTTGTAATGCCTCTGTCACCTGAAACAATCCAAAGGAAAATAAGGATTTACAGCCACAGGCATTTTATTTAATACAAAAATTACAGTATGATGTTCTGCTGAGTTCCCTTTCAGTCTGAAAATATGAAAATGAAAAGGAACTTAAATTGGTTTTGTTATCATTGCATTTGGTGCTGGAGTCAGCAAATCACAGCCCTTGGCCTAAATCTGCCCAGTCTTTGTATGGCCCACAATCTAGGACTGTTTTTAAAAAATTTAAAGGGTTGGTTTAAAAAATTAAAAAGAAGACAAATGTGTGTCATGGCAGAGATTGCATGTGGCCCACAAAGCCTACAGTATTTATTATCTGCCTTTTACAGAAGTTCAGCCAGCCCCTGATCTATTTTGAGGCTGGACCAAAGGAATAGATGTGCACATATTACTTGGCTCCCATGGACCGAGGGAGGCAGAATGCACTGGGATCCAAGGAGCCCTCCCCTCCCAGGAGCTACCACCCCGCAGCACCTCCCCGAAGAGTGCATTCCATAACGCTGTCCTGAAAAGCCTGCACAGCCCCCCAAAAATACTGACACTAAGTGACTATAAGAACTCAAAGATGTGCTCAGCACACTTCCCAAGAGTATAAAAGACGACGACATGAATTTTCCAGGTAATCTAAAGCAATAAATTGGGGGGAGGGGTGAGAGACCAAACTCCTGTAGTTACAAAGATATAAGACAGTACAAGTTCCAAACAAAAACTAGAAAAAAAGTTTATAAAAAATTAGGCTGGCTTTCACCTTGTAAATCATTCAATGAAACTTTTATTGAGCCATTATAAGGTGTCTGGTTCTTCCTGAAGTAAAAAGAAGTTTCTCTGAGTACCTCACAGTTCCTTCGTTATAGAAACATCTCTATAGATATCTTCCCATTACCCACTGCAGGGTATCCCCGCCTTCTCTCCAGGCTAAGGCTTCCTGGATGTGATCTCTCACAGAGCTTCATATTAACTACATGGAAATTTTATCATACCATAATTTAACTATAGCACCGAACTTCCCTGCACCTAGCAGTCTCTGCCACATAATAACAACTGTGTAAGAGTTTATTGACCAAGGCGTGAACCAACAAACAGCTTGATGGTGAAGCTCCTGGATTGTTTCGTTTTATAGAAAGTGAGTCATCTTTTTAGAACAGATTCGGTTTATAAGGTAGCATTTGGCACACATTTAATTGCTAGTGGTCATTACCTCAGAAAGGGGTATGTGTATGGGGAGAAACTCATATATTGCTCTATAGTTTTCCACACTGTGAGTCTTTTATAATGAGAACTATATTAATTATTGGCATTGAAATAAAAATACTAGAGGCGTTCCTAACCTGTAGGATAAAGAGGAATAAACTAGACAATCTTGAAGGTCACTTCGAGTTCTATGATGTAAACTCTGTGTAAGATGACGCAGGCTCTGTGTATGATGATGCAGGCTCTGTGTATGATGATGTAAACTCTGTGTATGATATGTAAACTCTGTGTATGATGATGCAGGCTCTGTGGAAGATGATGCAGGCTCTGTGTATGATGATGCAGGCTCTGTGTATGATGATGCAGGCTCTGTGTATGATGATGTAGGTTCTGTGGAAGATGACATAGGCTCTGTGTGAGATAACGTGTGGTTAATATCTTGCTCTAGTATTTGAGGGAAGAGAAATGACAAGTACATATTGTAATAATAACAATGGGGGAGAGGGACAAATGGGCTGGTACCCAAGGTGGGTCAAGTCATCTAAAAGTCTCATCACTTGTATTAACCCAAGTAGACAGAATTTCTTCGCGTCTCAATGGCATTCTAGTCTGAGCACTGAAAGCCTCAGTTCCTCCTGACATATTAGGCATGAAAAGACTGCTTCAGGGGTAGGAGCAGGGCCAATGAAAGAGGTGACGGTGAGGGTGGGAAGACAGTGATCTGTAAGGGTTCCCAGGGTCCCACTGTCTCACATATCAATATGAAAGGAGGGGCTCTAGAAAAAGAAGGAAAAGAAAAGGAAGAGAAAAGTTCACTGCTCTCAGCAGCTTGGAGTAGGAGAGCATTTTGTTTTCTCTGAAATGGGAACACTAAGTGGAGAATAAGAGCAGTGAGTACAATAAACATTTACTGAGAACCCATTATATGCCAAGCATTGTGCTCTGGGGATACAAAGATCATTAAGATATGGTCCCACAGGAAAATCAAACATATCAATATAAAACTATGTGATAAGTACCCTTTCTAAAACTCAAAAAAAAAAAAAAAATATGCA